CCAGCCTGCAGCTCCCACAGCTCTGCCCTCCAGAGCTCAGGGGTCCTTCTCTTCCAGGTGGCTGTGACAGCACCATCAAGGTGTGGGACATGGTCAAACACTACTGCACACACAACCTGAAGGGATCCTCTGGAGTGGTACAGTAAGGAGCAGAGCTGTTTGTCAGTCCCTGCTGTGCTGGGGTACTGGGATTGAGGTGCAGTTCTGGAGTTAATGCAGCAGGAAGGCAAATTCCCAGCAGGTTCTGGGCTCTTCCTTCTGTTTGAGAGCAGGGTTATGGCTGGCTCTGCCCAGAGAGGATAGAGTTTGGTCAAGAATTTTCATGAAATTCTTTCACAGAATTTTCATAGAATTGTTTCACAGAATTTTCATGGAATTGTTTCACAGAATTTTCGTGGAATTCTTTCACAGAATTTTCATGGAATTGTTTCACAGAATTTTTGTGGAATTGTTTAACAGAATTCTCACAGAATTGTTGGGCAGGGACACCTCCCAGTAGGCCAGGATGCTGTGAGCCCACCCAAGCTGTGCTGCTGTGGGATGTGCATGATTTAAAGGCTGCTCTGGGGTGTGCATTATTCAAAGGCTGGGGTTTATTCCTGTGCTGTCCTCTGCCCTGCCCAGCCTGGTGCAGTTCCACCCCGACATCTCCCGCCTGCAGCTCTTCTCCTCCTCCATCGATTACAAGATCCGCATCTGGGACCTGAGCAGCAGCAGGTGTGTGGCAGCGCTGGAGGGACACTTCAGTGCTGTCACCTCGCTGGCCTTTGCAGATGGGAACAGCCTCCTCAGGTATCCTGGCAGGGCTGCACCTCCATCCATTCACTCCTGCAGGGCCGGGGTGGGTTCTGCTCTGAGGGGAAGGGGTGGTGCAGCTGCTCAGTGCGTGTGCATTGGAACCATGGAATGGTTTGGGGTGGAAGGACCTTAAAGCCCATCCAGTGCCACCCCTGCCATGGGCAGGGACTCTTCCACTGTGCCAGGGTGCTCCAGCCCCATCCCGCCTGCCTGTGTTCCTGGGAATATCCTGTGCTGGCACAGGGAATGCTGCTGCTCTCTGTCCCACGGCCTCTGCAGAGAGGTGTTGAGCTCCCACAGTGCCACATTTGCACCCAGAGCCAAGCTGGACAGGTTTAGCACTAAAACTGAGCTTTTCACTTGCAGCTCTGGCCGTGACAAGATCTGCATGGTGTGGGACCTGGAGAGCAGGCAGAGCAAACGAACCGTCCCTGTCTATGAGGTGAAACTGCTCTTTGTCCCTTCCTTTGAGGCCATGGTCTCTCTCTTCAGGGTCTGCATGCTGTGAAATCAGGTTTCTCCCCCTTGCCAGGGTTTTCAGCTCAGTCTGTGCCTCTCTGATTTTTTCAGACTGTGGAAGCTGCTGTGTTGTTGCCTAAAGAGGGAGATTTCTCTCAGCTGGGTGTGAAGAATCAAGGGCTGCACTTTGTCACAGCTGGCAGCAAAGGTGGGTGTCACTGAAGGGTGGCACTTGGGTCACTTCACTGCTGTTGTTCCCCGGCTGTGTGCTCTCCATGGCAGGAGAGCAGAGCCTGCTCCTGAGATCCTTGGGCTGGAACAGGCACAGATCCATTTACTGCTCAAACACATTTATCTCTATTTTCTAACTCGATGAGTTTGAGTGAACAACCAAACCCTTGGGGCTTTTCCTGCCACTGCATCCTGCCCAGTCTTGCCTTGGAGCTGGGTGGCTTCTCCCACTGTGCTTTGGATGGTGTTCCCTGGACATGCACTGTGTGGGGCAGTGGCTCTGCCATGGTTTATCCTGTGTGTTCCCTGTGTGGGGCAGTGGCCCTGCCATGGTTTATCCTGTGTGTTCCCTGTGTGAAGCAGTGGCTCTGCCATGGTTTATCCTGTGTGTTCCCTGTGTGAAGCAGTGGCCCTGCCATGGTTTATCCTGTTTGTTTCCTTGTTGAAGTGAAGGGAGGCGACCCATCTTCCTTGATCAGCATCGACTCCAATTTATTGATCAAACCAGGCACCTTTTATAACGGTGCTAATTCACTTCATGCATATTGCAAAATCTGAGCTCCCGATAGGCTGTAGAGAAAACTTCAACTCCTCCTTCTGCTAACAATACCTGAGGTTTGTTTATTGAAACCAAGATCAGTGTTCTCACCATGATATGAAAAGTTCTCCAAACCTTTATATCTGTTCCCAGAACGGCCATCTGTTCCTAGAGCAGCCAAGGACAGAATATTGCCTGTTTTTGAGGAAACGGTCTGAGAATCTTGTTTATATAAAAGGTGGCTGAGAACCTTAATTATTTACAGAATCAAGCCTGGGAACTGCTGCTTTACAGTGGCCTTTTATTTTTCCCTTAGCTGACTACCTTTATGGCCTCTTTCTTTAAGCCATGCTTGAACCAGGCTCTCCACATTTCCTGTTCTTTCAGGCATTTTGAGGGTGTGGGAGGCAGCCTCGGGTGCCTGTGTGCACAGCCAGGCTGTTTCCTGTGTGAAGCAGTGGCCCTGCCATGGTTTCTCCTGTTTCCAGGCATTCTGAGGGTGTGGGAGGCAGCCTCAGGTGCCTGTGTGCACAGCCAGGCTGTTCCCTGTGTGAAGCAGTGGTTCTGCCATGGTTTCTCCTGTTTGTTTCCTGTTCTTTCAGGCATTTTGAGGGTGTGGGAGGCAGCCTCAGGTGCCTGTGTGCACAGCCAGGCCGTGCCCTTCGCGCTGCAGGAGGAGCCCAGCGAGCGCAGCCTCTCCCAGTGCCAGTTTGTGCCCGCCAGGAACGAGCTCCTCACCGTGTCCATGGAGCACAACATCGTGTTCTATGATGCTCAGAGCCTGCAGCTCAGGAAGCAGGTGACAGCCCCAGCCTCCCTGTCCCTCTGTCCCTGCTCCAGGACCAGCCCTGCTCTGGCAGAGGCACCAAGGGCACCCCTGGCTCTGGGATTGTTCCATGGGCAGGGAATTCCACTGCTCTGGGGGAATGTTGCCCAGAGACCAGCACAGGAGGGAGAAAGCAGAACAGACTTAGCCAGAAATGCCTCCTGTGTGTAGAAATTGCAGACAGCATGAAATGAAAAGCAGCCACTCCCACCTCCCCTTCAGCTCCATTTCCCTCTTGGGCTGTTGCAGCTTGCAGGATACAACGAGGAGGTGCTGGATGTGAAGTTCCTGGGCCCTGGGGACTCTCACATCGTGGTGGCCACCAACAGCCCCCAGCTGAAGGTGTTTGAGCTGGCAACGTCCCACTGCCAGATCCTGTACGGGCACACAGGTGGGTGACAGCCCTGCCTTTGTCCAGCTTCTCCTGGAGCTCTGGTGGAGAGGACTCCCCGAGTTCCTGGTGGAGCAGCACCACAGCAGGTTTGGGAGTTGTGTGGGGAGAGGATGTGTCCCTTTGTCCCTGTCCCTGGCAGTGAGATCAGTTTAATCTGGAGCTGAAGGTGCAGGGGTGACACAGGCTCAGTCCTCAGGGACCAGTGTGTCCCAGACCTGTCCCCTGGCTCATTAACTGGGCTCATTAAGCACTGGGCTCATTAACTCACCCCTTTCTGTTGTCCCATCTCAGCTTTGCTCTGCATCCACCAGTTTTTATTTCTTCTCTTCAGAAACAATCCTGGCTTTGGATGTCTTCAGGAAAGGCCTGATGTTTGTCACCTGTGCCAAGGTGTGTCACTGTTCTCCATTTAATGAAACTCTTCATTCCTAGTGATCCCTGTGGGCAAAATTATGTTGTTTTAGGAACTCCAGAAAGGGTTTTCTGTTCACACAATCCCTGGCTGCTGCATGCCCCAAAGAGGTTCTTCCACTGTCCCTTTTTAACATTGTCCCTGGGAAAATTGGTTGTATTTTATTGGCCTGAAGGAGATATTTCCTTCTCCAAACATCCTGGTCTGCTGTTAGAGTTCAGAAAGTTGTTGGTGTGAGATTGATGAGGGAAACAACAACAGACAGAACAAGAGGACACAGTCTCAAGTTGTGCCAAGGGAGATAGAGGCTAGAATTAGGAGGAAGTTTTTTACAGAAAGAGTGGTCAAATACTGGAATCATCTGCCCAGGGAGGTGGTGGAGTCACCATCCCTCGATGTGTTTAAACAAAGACTGGATGTGGCACTTTGTGCCATGGTCTAGTTGAGGTGTTAGAACATGGGCTGGACTCGATGATCTTAAAGGTCTCTTCCAGCCTAGAAATTCTGTGATTCTGTGAGAAGGTGCCAAGAGCCCTGACAGACCCAACCCCAAAGCTCTGAGACAGCCAGCAATAACCGTCCATGCTGGAGCCCCAGAGCTGATGTTGCTGCGAGGTTCAGGCTGGAGCAGCAGAGGCCAGCGGGGCTCGGGGATGGGGTGGAAGCTCAGGGAGCTGCTGTCCCCAGCCAGCTGAGGCTTTTGTGTCCCCCCCAGGACAGAAGCGTGCGGCTGTGGCGCATGGGCAGGGCTGGCAGGGTCACCTGTGTGGCACAGGGCCTGGGCCATGCCCACGGCGTGGGCGCCGTCGCCTGCTCCAGGTAACACATGCTGGGCAGGCAGGGAGGGAGGGGAATGTCCTGGGGGCGCTGTCCCCTCCCAGCTGTGCTGCTCCTCAGCCCTGCTCCAGCTTCTCCTGGTGCCCGGCTGGGAAGGGACCGTGGGGTGGTTTGGGTGGGAAGGGGCCTCAGGTGTCATCAGTGCCACCCCTGCCATGGGCAGGGACACTTCCCCTGTCCAGCCTGGCCCTGGACGCTCCCAGGGATGGGGAAATCCTTCTGAAATAGCCTGGAAAGCCATGAAACCGCTTTCCCACACCGAGCAGTGGCTGAGTGTGGGGATGCCAGTCAGGGAGGAGAAACCACGGAGTTGTTTCCCTGCCCTTGATGCTTTCACTGCTCTCAGGATGAAGGAAAGCTTTGTAGTGACCAGCAGCCAGGACTGCACCATCAAGATCTGGAACATCCCGGAATCCCTCACTTCCAAAGCTAAAGCAGCTTTGATCTCCAGCCCAGAGCCCCTCCATGCCAGGGTCACTGAGAGGGGCCATGACAAGGTACAGCTCCAGCTGCTCTTTCAGCTTCTGTTTGTTCAGTGTCCCACAGCCAGAGCTGAGTCCTGACCCTCCTCCTCCTCCTCTTGTGGCTCCCCCAGGACATCAACAGCGTGGCAGTGTCCCCCAATGACAAGCTGCTGGCCACGGGCTCGCAGGACAGGCTGGCCAAGCTCTGGTCCTGCTCCGACTGCTCCCTGCTGGGGGTGTTCTCTGGGCACAAACGTGGCATCTGGTGCGTGCAGTTCTCCCCTGTGGACCAGGTCCTGGCCACCTCCTCGGCCGATGGGACCCTGAAGCTTTGGGGACTTCGGGATTTCAGCTGTCTGAAGGTGATGAGAGCTTTGCCTCCTGCCCTGGGCAAAACCTTGGGGTTCCTCAAGGATCCTTCCAAAACATGGGGCTTATTCCTTTGGGCTTTGGGAGTAACTGGGATCCTTTGGGGTCTCTCCAGAGGCCTGGCAGTGCTGAGCTCCCTTTGTGTTTTGCAGACCTTTGAAGGCCACGATGCCTCAGTGCTGAAGATCATCTTTGTGAGCCGAGGGGCTCAGCTGCTCAGCAGGTTTGTGCCTGATTCCAGAGTTAGGGAATGTCTGAGCTCATCAGCAGCACCAAGAGGAAACACTCCTGTGCCCAAAGAGTCTTTGGACAGGTTTACAGGAAGATGCCCTGTTTAGGCCAGGCTTTCTGCAGAGGTTATTTTCATCTTCCTCCTCTCCAGGTGTCCCATGGGTTCCATGGGGCTGCTGTGGCATTGCTGGGTTGGGACAAACTCAGTGACAGAGCCAAGGGTGCATCTTGCCCTCCACATTTTGGGTTAACTCTGCTCCTGTTTGGAAGGAATTGGGATATTTGTTCAATTCATTCAAGTCCATCTGGTATTTGAGGTGGGACAGAGCAAGAATGGATCTGTGCAGTGATTCCTTCTGTTGTGTTTCTCTTCCAAAAGTGGATCTGACGGTCTCTTAAAACTCTGGACAATTAAAACAAACGAGTGTGTGAAAACATTGGATGGTCATGAGGACAAAATCTGGGGCCTTCACTCCAACAAGAAGGATGACATGGTCGTGACAGCCTCCAGTGACTCCTGCATCACCCTGTGGCAGGTACAGCAGGGGCTGCCTCCTCCCTGGGTTAATAATCAGGGGAATTGGAGAGCTCAGGGTCCCAGTGGCTTGTTTTTCATGTGTTCTCCTTGTCTGCAGTTTGAAATTAGGTTCACGAGGCTGACCTTGGGGTTTGGGGGTATTTTTTGGCCATTCTGTATTTCCTCAGAGCAGCAGATGGGCCCCAGCACTGGAACTTTGGAGGGAAGTCGGAAATTTAACATTTAAATTACTTGACCACAAGATTTTGGTGCAGAGACTGGTCTCACGTCACTTAATGGCCAAATCAAAACCCTTCTGTATTAAAGCAGGATTTGATAAAGTTTGATCCTGTTTTTTTTTAACAGGATGTGACTGAAATTGAGGAGAAAGAAGCACAGGCTAAACAGGAGGAGCAGATTATGAAGTGAGTTGATCTTGTGTCTTAAAGAGCTGTGAAAGCAAACTGTGCAGTGGAACTGTCCACACCTGGAGCCATCCAGCTCCACCTGATCCCAATATTGGAGTGAGGGCGTTTGTTGATGAGCACCACAAACTCCTTAACTGTTATTGCCAAATCTGCTGCTTTTTCTGTGGTTTTGTTTTTTTTCAGCACCCAGAGATTTGTCTCACTCTCACCCCTGATTTGTTTTCCAGAGAGCAGGAGCTGTCTAACCTTCTCCATGAGAAGAGGTTCCTCAAAGCTCTGGGCCTGGCCATCTCGCTGGACCGGCCGCACACGGTGCTGACCGTGGTCAAGGGTGAGTCCAGAGCGTGCTCCGAGGGCATTTCCTGCCCTCCCTCCTGTCCTGGACACCCCTTCCAGCCAGCTCAGGGCAATAATTACTCTGAAATCCTGAGTTTTCCCTGAGTGCCATCACCAGGGTGCCCCTGCTGTGGTTTCTGTCCCCAGCCATCCTCAGGGAGCCCGAGGGGAGGAGGCACCTGGAGGAGAACATTGTTCGGCTCCGCAAGGATCAGAAAGGTTTGTGGCACAGCTGAAGTGCTGGAAGCTTCCAGCTCAGAGGCTTTTCTGACACTGAAATTAGAATCCTGCCATCCTGGGATGGTTTGGGTTGGAGAGTGTTCAGTTTTACCCTCTGCCATGGGCAGGGACACCTTGAGTAGAGCAGGACTGGCCTTGGGCACTTGCAGGGATGGGGAATGTCCCTGGTGGGACCTTAGTGAGAGCCCAGGGATGTTTTCTGGGTGGGCTGTGCTGTGTGCCAGCCTGGCCAGGATTCCTTCCCCCCACAGAGGCCGTGCTGGCCTTCCTGGTGACGTGGAACACCAACTCCAGGAACTGCCACGAGGCCCAGGCTGTCATGGAGACCCTCCTGAGGCACGAGGCCCCCGACACCCTCCTGCAGTTCTCGGGAATCAAATCTGCCGTGGAGTCCCTGCTGCCCTACACAGGTGAGGCTCTGTGGGGACAGGAGGGGCTGGCCTGGGTCAGGGATCATGGAATGGTTTGGGGTGGAAGGGGCAGGTCAGGTAATCCACCCCTGCCATGGCAGGGACACCTTCCTTCCACCATCCCAGGGTGGGATCCCCATCCTCAGCCTCCATCCCAGGGTGGGATCCCCATCCCAGGCCCCAATGTCGAGCCTGGCCTTGGGCACTGCCAGGGATCCAGGGGCAGCCCCAGCTGCTCTGGGCACCCCATGCCAGGGCCTGCCCACCCTCACAGGGAACAATTCCCAATATTCCATCCATGGCTGCCCTCTGGCAGTGGGAGCCATTCCCTGGGTCCTGTCCCTCCGTCCCTTGTCCCCAGTCCCTCTCCAGCTCTCCTGGAGGCCCTGGGTGTCTCCCTGGAGTGTTCCCCTGTCCAGGCTGGGCATTGCCAGCTCCCCCAGCCTGGCTCCACAATCGAGGGCAGGGTTCTGGTGCCTCCCTGAGCCCTGCCCTCCCTGCAGAGCGCCACTTCCAGAGGCTGAGCCGCCTGCTCCAGGCCTCCACCTTCATCGAGTTCATGTGGCACAACATGAGGCTGGCAGATGTGGCCCAGCAGGACCAGGGCACTCTGTGACCCTCCCTCCTCCCACCAATTGCTCTTTCCAAAGAGCTCTTTCCCACCAGGATTTTTAGTTCCTCTATTTTATAATAAATGTTTTCATTTCTAAACCAAGTCTAACATTCAATCTCCTCAGGGATGAATGAAAGGAAAAGGTAATTTCTTTGGCCAAGCTGGTGTTTGTGTTTTCACACCCTGAATTTTCACAAACAGAAGGCAGTTTGGGATTTAAAAAAGGCAAAATCCCAATGAGCAGTTGGGATTTAAAGGGTTCATGGAGCTGGGATCTTGCTTGGGCAAAGCAGCCTGGACCAAGGCAGGGGCCTCACCTGTGCCCACCCAAAATTTAGCACCTGGGAGGAAGAGAAGCACAATTCAAATTCCCCAAATAGCAAATTTTTAAAGCATAAAACAAGCAGGCTTCAGAGATATTTACATGTATTTTATTTCATAAACAAAAATGTATAAAATTCAAACAACACAAATACCTCACAAGTTCTTTAAAAAAATATTAACAGATACCTGGGAGAATAAGTACAATTAAAGCCATCAGTGTAGAGAAAAGTCTTGATTTTCCTGTAACTCTTTTTCTAACTCATTTCTAGCTAATGAGTTTAGGATTAGAATTGTGGTTTCAGTAACTAGGCAGTCCCCTTGGGAAGAGGAGTGTTTTGTCCATAAAGGTGACCTCTGTTCCCATCCGCAGGTGGGACAGGAGCTGTGGCTCCCCTGGTTGTGTTCCTGTGGCTGCAGGGAGCAGGGATGAGCTTCCTCCCCAGCACGTTTTTTATTCTCACAACCATTCAGCCCATCCAGCCCATCCCTGTGTTTCATGGCCTCTCCACTAACGTACAAAAAAACCCCAAACTGACACCAAAAGTCAAAAAGTTTTTAAAAATACCTATAAAACAGGGGCTTCAGTAGGTGCCATCATACATCCCATCTCTCCCCAATCCCGTGGCTGTGTCCCCTCTGTGCCAGGGGACACTGAGGCACTCTGGTGCCACTCCTGTGCCCTCCATGGTGGCCGTGGCTGTGCCAGCTGATCCTGGCATGGGGAATAGCCCAGCTGCACTGCAGGGAGGGGAACACCTGCCTGGGGGAGAGCTCTGAGTGACCTCCAGCCCTGCAGCTGCTGGAAGCTCGGGTGACCCCACTCAGCCCTGTCCCAGCAACTCCCTGGGGAAGCTGCAGCTGCCCAGGGAGGTGGTGGATGTGTGTGTGT